TGTTTGGTCTTTCTAGGCCAAAGCAAGAATTCTCTTCATTCTTTTATAAAAGTTGTTAGTCACTTCAGGGCAGTAAAGCCTGAAGCTAGAGGTCAAGATGCCTTCGGAGAGATTGAAGAAAGCCCTATAAGCGCAACTCAAACACTTTGTGCTTTTCTGCACTCTGCAAAGCCTGTGAGAGAGTTTCATACCCTGGCCAAGTGTACCCTCACAGGAGCAGGATGCTTGTCCAGTTGGATCATAAGTCTCTTTCAACGCAGTAATTACAGACGTGAGGTTTGGGCTGAAAGGCAGAATGCTGGGTTTCCCATTTAGAATGAGTCACATTAAAAGTATTTTTATTAGCATCCCTAAAAACCACAGCATACCTTCAGATATTATTAATTGCAAATGTATGTAAGCTTTTAAAAAAAATCCTCTGCCATGGTTCCTAACATACTAGTGACTAAAAATAGTGGACTATTAGGATGAACTGCTGCAAAGAGTTTACTTCCAAGATTTGGAAGATTTATGCAAGTTTCACTTGAAGCCCGGGGATTAATATCGAGCAATTAAAAGACCAGCAGGGAATGACTGCAAATCATGACCCCTATTTAGACCTGTATTCTAGACACCCTCTAGAAGCATGCACCTCATTCTCATATCCCCGGAGAACACGTGCACATTGAGGGGAGGTGACTATTGTAACAAACACTGCAGTGTCCACTGTTTGTAGCAAGGAAAACAGAGAACAGGTCTCCAGGTTTTGACTGTACACATGTGTAAGACTTTCCTGACACAGTTCCTGTGCATGGGGACAGCTGGCTGTGCCTTACCTTGTTCCAGAAGAAATTAAAACACCTTTAAAAGTCACATAAATTAAGACTCTGAGTAAAATAAGCAAGATATGAGGGTGTGGGTGAAAAATAGAGGCAGGAATGATGTTTTTAAAATGCACACCGCAGCTGGGCGGTGTTGGCACACACCTTTAGTCCCAGCGCTTGGGAGACAGAGGCAGGTCCATCTCTGTGAATTAGAGGTCAGCCTGGTCCACAGAGCTAGTTGCAGGACAGCCAAGGCTGTTACACCGAGAAATCCTATCACAAAACACCAAAAAAAAGGCACATCATAGACCTATACCTGAATGTGGGTGGAAGATAAACTTGGCACTGGTTTTCTAGGAATCTGAACAGATAGAGAAAGGAGGTTACAGTACTACAAAGAGAAACACAGTTGCTAAAATAGCCAGTCAGAACAGTTTTAGAGAGAAAAGCAATCAGGGACTTTCTGTAGTGCTACAATAAAGAAAACATATATGGTTTAATAAGCAAAATCTAGCAACATAGCACACGCTGTGAGGGTCACAGCTAATTCTTACACTGGGCTTCTATATAGGCATTATAACGAAGTACTCTGCTAAAGCAGATATAATAAGATATTTGAAAGTGGCCCAATTATTGTCAGATCTGCAGAAGTCTGAGATTTTTACCATGTGTACAAGTTAAGCACGTGTTTGCTCACAGATGCTGGTGTGACACAGGATTTCTGAGTCAAAGGCAGAGTCAGGTGTGTTACTCACAGTTACAACAGTGGCTTGAATAATGTTTTCATCAGAGCTTAGATTCTCAGTCTCCACAGGGCAACACAAACTAACATAGGTGATACCTGTATATGACATGGGGAATAATAGAGAACGGGAACAAATCTTTCCTGCTGGGAGAGGACCATGTATCCTGCTTGCTCTAGCCAGATGCTGCATTTATAGTAACAGTTCCGTCTTCCAAGGCTATGGCAGTGCGCCTTTTCTCAGGATGTAGCCTACAACATCGGGAATTGGTGCCTCTACTCATAAGATCTGCAGAAGCAGAAGGACCCTCAGAGAACTGACTTTTAACAACCGCTTTCCAGACTGCGTTCCAGTGTTCTGTGCATTAATCCAGGACTGTCCGTTAGCGAGTTTTTGGGCATCTGCGAGCTGTATTTCCTTTGACACTTGCTTCACATGTCCCAGTTATATTCTTCTAGACAGCGAGGACAATGGTAATCAAGAAACAAATGACCTGTATTTTCATAAAATGACAGTAATTAGGACATTTTGTATGCTTTTCAAAGTCCTTCCTAAGGATTCTTTAGGCATAATGTTTCACAGATATTAGTGACAATGACTTTCGTCCTACAGTGTTTGGAATTTGGCATTTCTATGTCTTCAAGTAAGACACCATGCCTTAAGAAGTCATCCAAAGAGTGGAGATGGAGAAACCTAATGGAGTTGCACAAATAATTCCGAAGTCACCTCCACTGAGCCCGAGGTCAGGTTCAATTTTTCCCTGCGAGGAGCCTAAAGCCTTTTCTGTGATTCTGTGACCTAAGCCCCAAGGCTTACTCATGTGAGAAAGGATGTGTTCATCCTGTTTGTGTTGGGACTCTAAAGACAGGAAATCTAGGCACTGTGCTAAAATGTCCTATGTGTGAGGTCCCTTTCTCCAAGCCACTTCCCCTCCCTGGCTGAGCTCTGGTTCTGTCAGTGTGTCTGTTGACTGCTTGTTTGTCCTACTGTCTAGAATAGTGCAACCATCTTTCCCTGACATAATATTAGAAGCTGGCCTCCATTTCACTGGTGTCCGCTTGGTTCCAAGCGACAAACACTGACTTCTAATGTGAACCAGGCTTCCTCTGCTGGCCAAGCTGAGTCTGATCCTCGAATTCCATTACCTATGTCTAGCACCAGGTCTCACACTGTTTTGTTTTTAAATTGTTTTTACTGAGCTCTACATTTTTTTCTCTGCTCCCCTTCCTTCCTCCCCTCTCCCCTTCCACCATCCTTCCCCGTTTCCCACGCTCCCAATTTACTCAGGAGATTTTGTCTTTTTCTCCTTCCTAGGTGAATCCATGTACGTCTCTCTTAGGGTTCTCTTTGTTGTCTAGGTTCTCTGGGGTTGCAGTCCCACAGTGTTTGGGTTTCTGTTGGGTTTCTTTCCTCTAACACCGGCCTCACTGGCGTAGCCTCGTGGCTAAGCACTGTAGAGCGTAGAGGCCGCAGGGACAGCTGGCTGAGTGTGAATCTCGGGATTGAGGGAGCTGCCTGTTTAAACAGAAAATCAGAGGTGAGGAACATGTGAAATACCCCAGCCCCTTCCGAAGCCAGCGCCAGAATATTCCTATGGTGAGGGCTCAGGCGGCCAGCAACAAATGACCTCAATCCGTGCCACCTCTCTATTTGGAAGATGGCACTGCCTCTTTAGGTGTCCTTCTTACTTTTGGAAATCCCGCCATCAAATTTCATTTGAATGATGTCATTCTACCTCCCTCTGGCTGATTTTGGTTTAGTTATAGCAACGCCCGAGATAAGCTATTTGCAATGAATCGATATGAACATAGAAACACTCGGAGCATCAAGTGAGCCTGGCCGTTCCAGCAGTGTGCTTGTGTTTGCCGCAATGTGTTGTAGCAGAGAGGACACACACGGGACTTCCCAATGAACGGTCCTGCTACCATTCTTCTTCATTAAGGGCTTTGCTGTCGTTATCCTTTATGACTGTCTTCAGCAATCTCTACCGTATATGTTTCTGCGTGCCAGACACTACGGTAAATGCAAAAATGTGACTAGTGAATTTATGAAACTGGTACTGCATGTGTGTCCATGTGTTTGTCTGTACGTATACTTATGCACGGATATGCTGTGTGCCTGTGTGAGGCCAGAGAGTGACACTGGGTGTCTCTCCAGTTGCTCTCACCCTTATTTTTTGAGATAAGGTTTTGCCGAATCTAGAACTCACCCATTCAGTGAGATTGTCTTCATCCTAAGCTCCAGGGCTAGTCCTGTCTCTGTCTCCCCATTGGTGGGACTGGAGATGCTTGCTGTGGTGTTTGACTTTTTATGTGGGTGGTAGGATCTGAAGAACTAAGGTGCTTATGCTTGAGTGGCGGGCTCTCTACTGACCAAGCCATCTTCCCAGCCCTCATCTTTATCTTAGAATTTAAAGTTTAATAAGGTAGACTAAAGGAACTGTGGTCACGTGACCTACTTAAATGCCATCATCACTTATTTGTGCCATGACACTGAAACTTTTCTTTCACTTCCCTTTGCTCGGTTTTTTAATCAAAATCAAGAGTGGTCACAATGTCTTTGTCATAGATGGGTCTGAAGAATGAATGCCTTAGTAATGTGTAAATTGGTTAGATCAATGTCTGTCATGAAGCAAACCCTGGAATGGAAACAGTGTTGATAACATAGCAAAGACGCTCAAAGCAATTAAGGGGGCCCTTTCAAAGCCTGTATGCATTGCTATTCTGCAGACTGTTTGGTTGGGACACCCCTTTTTCTATGCCTCAGCTTTTCTTACTGCGAAAACAGAGATTGCTAGCACTATAGCTCCTGCATAGCCACCATGCCAAAGGTTGTTGCAGAGGCTAGCCCATTGTGGGGATAAGGTCATGTGCTACCTCTCTGTCTCTACACCCACACCTATGGAATATGTGCATATACATATATACACATGTGTGTGTGTTTGTATGTGTGTATACATGTGTTCACAGTATACAACTGCATAATTTAGGACCCTCTTTTAAGGTTTCTTATAACATTAGACCCATTTAAAAGGGAAGAATTGGATTGGTTTCCTGGCTAATTAAAAGCAGTTTCCTTCTTAATAAAATTTTATTTTATATTTTAATGTTTTAATGGGCTTAATCATACCTTTTTATTCTTTAAACTAGTTCATCAAATGTTTCAGAGTTGCCGGGGTAGCAGTTCTTCCCTGAACAGATTGGTCATAATTTCAGTTCTTGTATCAGGGAACAGAGAAGAGGCAGACAGTCACAGTGCTTGAGAGGGAAATGAGAGGATATGTTTTTGCTGTTGCGCCTACTTTTTTTTTTTTCCCTGAGTGTGTGGGAAAGGGTGTGATGTCATCCTGTCTCCACCCCCTGTGAGTAAGCCCACAGCAGAGCTCAGTGCAGCCGCCCGCCTCTCTCAGTGGAGGACATCCACTTAAATGCAGTTCCAGGTTTGCCAGGCACCCCGGAGCATCACTCCTCCTGTGAGCAGGCAAATGCAACATGCTCTCCAGCCTGGGGTGTCTGCTTCTCTGTGGAAGTATTGCCCTTGCCCTGGGAAATGCACAGAAATTGCCAAAAGGCAAGTAGCTTGGATATTTTGTGTTTTAAAAGTGAGATTAAGAGTTGCTGGTTTTTAACTGTCGGTATGAAATATGATCTGCTTTACAATATCGGGGGATTGAATTATTCTGCAGAAAGCCAAAGGCCATGTTTGTCGAGGGGTGATTTAAGCGTTGCTTTCTCTTGGACCCCTGTTACTAACTTTGCGATGGCAGCTCCTAACAGCTTCTAATGGAGTATGCTCACATGAACTGAAGTTTCACTACAGTATCTGCCTATCAAATCGGCTTATATAAACGACTGTTGTAATTTGTTAGTTATTTGGTGCTTTCAGTCCTGTCCAGAGACAACGACTGGTTGGTTTAAGCTTTGGGATAAGCTTGTTCGGAAAGCTGGAATCTTTTGCATAAATCTCAAGCATATCTGGGGCTAGGGACTGAGGGAGGGTAGCCAGGTCAGATCCAAGTATAGCTAAGTCGCTGTCAGGGCTCTCCCATCGAGTTTGGAAGAAGGTTTGGTTTGCCGGACAGGACACTCCCCCCTTCTCCTGCCTAAATTGCTTATTTTAGTGTTGGTATTTTGTTTACAAGAGTCACCAAAAGAGAAGTAAATTTTCTAAACTTAGACCCTAGAAGCAGTCCTCGGAACGAATTAACACTAAATCAGGAGGCTCTCGTCTTGTCCTGTCTGCTAGCATGAATGCTGAGTGCGCTTTCGCTGCCTTGCGGAGACACTTCAGGTCTGTGGAGGCTTTTTATGGCTGCAGACTGCTGTAGTCAGCAGGATCGCGGAAAACAGGCTGGGATTTACCGTACAGTTTTGATGGGAAGTGTCAGAGGTGACACCCAGGCACAGACTCATCAAAACAGAGTCCCAAAGAGAAGCTGAGGGTCAGAGTGCTGAGAGACATTGCTGTGTCCTCTCTCTGGAGCTTCAGCCTAGGCTCATCTTGTCTCAGATGCAAAGTGTCCTTCCTTATGGTCAGTAAAGTGAAACTTGAATCCGGAATGTGACGGCTGAAGCGTTTGGCTTGTGAGTTTCTCCCATGAGGATGGGGACTGCAGTCAATGGCAAAGGAAACCTCTGTTCGGATCAAAGGATTGTGCAAGGAGAAAGAAATCAAGCACCATTAGACTTTTCTTCTACCATGAGTTTCGTTCTTTGATCATAATAAACTGTGACTTAATCCATAATTAATTGTTTGCATTGGTGTAGCTTTTAACAGTGTTGCTGTTTGAGAGGAGCCTGTCGATTGTCTTTGCTTTGTTTTTGGTTTCAATTTTTACAGGTGTTTTTATTTTGCTCTGCATTTACTGTGTAGGGATGATAAACAAATCATCCCTACAGACTTAGGTCAGGTCCAAGAGCCTTAATTTTCCCATCATAGATCTAGAAAGAAGCCTCTTGGTACAAGTTGCCTTTGCTTGTAATGATAAAGAAGAAAATGTATTTGTTAATAATTGGGTCCAAACTGTTGTCAAGTTTATTGCCCATCATTGTGTTTGCATCAGGTTTCTTTTGTAATGCTTTAACAATCTGTAGTTTGGTAAGATCAACAAAACACAATCTATAGCTATTATAAAATAAATGGTAAATCCCTTTATTTTCTTAAAAGGTTTTGAGGAAGTTTCTTAAGCTGGCCACCGTGCTGAAATGTTTTTGAGAATGTCCTATAATAGTTGAGGGGTGGGAGGCAGACACGTTCCTTCAAACCCTTTGGCAGCTTTTCATGCTTGCTTTTTTTGGCGGTGGTGGGGGTCCCCATGATGGATGCTACCATCCTAGATGATCTAAACATTTCTCAAGGAAAAAAAAAACTTGTCTAGTCTTTGAACCCATTGTTTCCCAAACACATTTGAATGATAGTTCCTGTCAAACAGCTATGGTATCTTTCCAGAGGCTGTCTGTGACGGATCGCATCTGAAAAAGGGCTGAGATAGGTTATTGCTTACTGCTTTGGAGGTGAGGACCACCTGTGACTGAAGAAGGGCACGGCAGTGAAGGGCTAGACATTAGTGACCGCTGGACATAGTCCAGCCCAGGTGTTTGCATTTATGAGCCAGTAAAAAAATGCATGCAGGTATTACTAGCAGGGTTTTATTAATAGGGGTCATACTTAACTTTTGCTATGTGAGGATGCTCAAAGCTAGGGAAAAATCCTTGCTCTTCAGAAAAGCAAGCCATTTTCATAAGTTTAGAAATAAATGTGTTTAATAAGACAAATTTGTTGGGCCGTTGTCCACCTTTTTCTCATTTTATTGAAGATCAATTAACAACTTCCTCACAGGCCAATATTTGGAAATACTGACCTATCTTAACTATTTATATAGATGAGGACGCCCACAATAGGGGAGATTTAGTAACTTTCCCATGTTAATGGAGGAGCCAGCACCAAATACTAGTCTTGCTTCCTGCCAGGTAGAGAGGGTCTCTGACTTATTCCAGGAATCAGTCTGCACTGCACATGGGAATGCTGCCTCTCCCTTGAATCAGACCTTTCCTGCTAAGGTAGAGGAAATTAGACTACAGCACCCTTAAAATCATCTTGCAGCCTTTCTCAAGAAAATGCCATCATTTTATATATGAATTATATATAACCATGTTCATTTGGTTATTTATAAGAACTCACTTGTTACATGTCATATCGATTCTCAAATAAGTTGTTAGACATTTTTGTTTTTAAAAGTTTAAACTTAAAGAATATTACTAATGCGTCTTTCATTGTCTTCATAAGTTAGTGGTTGTGTACTTCGGCAATTTGTTAGTTTAGATCTCATATCCAAACTGTAAGAGTCGTGTGGAACAGCAAGCGAGGGGCATGTTCTTCATGGAGAGGCGATAAGATTGCCAAGCACTGCTCCATTTGATAACACAGGGGTTTGGCGTCTACTGCCTTGTGTTCTGACCATCCTTGGTCCAAACGACAGACTCGAAATAGGAATGTAATAATACAACTCTGGGGCTGGACGGTGGTGGCACACACCTTTAATTCCAGCACTCGGGAGGCAGAGGCAGGAGGATCTCTGTGAGTTCGAGGCCAGCCTGGTCTACAAGAGCTAGTTCCAGGACAGACTCCAAAAAAATAATGCGACTCTGGGACCTGGAGTCGTGAGCACATGGCAGAGGAAGTGAGCAGTTGGTTCTTTGCCTTGAGTTCTTACGCAAAAGAGTAGAAATACTTGACAAGTTAGATGTGCACAGACAGCTGCAGGGTTGACCTGGCAGTTAAGAACACATCCTACTCAGAGGACCTGAGTTAAGTTCCCAGCACCCATGGGGAGCCATCTACAACTGCTATAGGAAAGCATATAATCCTATAGATAACCAGTTCTAGAGCACCCAGAGCCTTCTTTTGGCCTCCATGGGTATTAGCACACATACTCATATCCATAACTAGATTCTTTCTCCCTCTCTCAATTAAAAATAAAATCATCTTTTTAAAAAAGTAGACGGATGAGTCACAATAACCATAAGAGCTATTAACAGCCACCTATTATTCTCATAGGTAGTATTTTTTGACTGAGTGATGTGGAAATTTAGTGTGACATATTTTTGGTGCAGGAAGTCTACGTCCTTATATGAAACAGGTATCTTATTACTCTCATTTTATAAAGTTTCTGATTATGCCTCCAGGTGTTTAAGTAATTACCCCAAGGGAAGTAAAAGTCTCTAACTTTAACTCCAGCATAGTGTCAGCTCCTGATTCCTGTAAAGACACATCAGTTTGTTCTAGTAAAAGGCTCCGTGCCCTGTGTAGGAGACTGGGGGGGGGGGGCAATGCATGGTGCTTATTTACAGGTAGCTGACTGGTTAGTGGGGTGGATTGGACAGAAGAGGAAATTCCAGGGCATCGAGATCTGTCTCCTTTAGCTTGAAGCCCCTGAACTTTGAGAACAGTTGGAAGGACTCAGTTCAGACCAGAGGACTGAAGCATCTGAAAGACACAAAAGCCGGGGCTGACAGAGAAGAGCATTTGGAGGCAAGGGAGAGTTTGGATGAGAGGTGCGGGTACCTGCCTCTTACTTTTCACAGAGCTCTTCTGAATAAAAGAATATGTCACTTAAAACACTTGGCCTGTCTCTCCAAAGGATAGGTGATATTTGTGAGGAAGTGGGAAAATGAAAAGGTTACCGGCCACTGGGTAGAGGGCTGGTTTTGTTTCTACAGATAGAAGTCTCTCTGTGTAGCTCTAGCTGTCTCAAAATTCATTAGGTATACCAGGCTGGCCTAACTCAAAGATCCTCCCGCCTCTGCCTCCAGAGTGCTGGGATTAAGGGTGTGCTGCCACCACTGGGTAAGGGCTGGTTTAATTAGAATAATGTATTTGTGTATTTCTGGGACAGTATTAAAGAGTACATAGGAAAAAATGATTCAACTGAGAAAAGGTTGTAAAAGCACAGGAAATTTATTTAGTGGTTTTTATAGTTGTAGCTCTCATGACTTCTTGATGCATTTGTTTATTTAACTATGAGTTATTGAACATCTAGGTAAAACTGAATGAGACCAATTGTTTGAAAAACTGTATATTAGGAAGCAAATAATCAAATATACTTCAGTTGAGGCTAAGTTTAGATACCAATGTTTTAAATTAAAATTTGGACATGTTGGGTATACGTTCATCAGTTATACATTCAACAGACTGCTCTTTTGGGTTATGGGGTACAAAATATTAAGGAATTTTAGTTCTCTGTTTCTCTACAAGTTAATACGTCACAAGGGAATGTTTGATAATACATTAATATCATAGCACAAAACATGAAATGTTTCTAAAGCTACAACCCTTTAATACAGTTACTCATGTTGCAGTGATCCCTTGAACCATAAAAATATTTTTGTTGCTACTTTGTAACTGTAGTCTTGCTTCTGTGATGAATTGTAATGTAAATATCTGGTCTGTGGGGTATCTGATGTGTGACCCCTGTGAAAAGGTTGTTCAACCCCTTGAAGGGGTTGTGGTCTAAGGCCAGGGCAGGGTATCTAATGAAGGGAGAGCTACTGAAGTCATATGACCCACTCAGT